CAACAACAACAACAACAACAACAACAACAACAACAACAACAACAACAACAACACGAAAAAGAAGGAAAAGAGTAAAGGCGACTACCACGAATGTCTACTGTTGCAGAAACACAATAATAACTTTCTCCAGTAAGAATACCAAAGAAATGTGATCTTCTTAAAATAAAATATGTGGTTTTTGAGTGTTTTGCTGATGCAGATGACAAGCTTGATCATGCGTGCGTGTAATTTAGTATAACCCAGCAACCCACGTTTGTCTGGTTTTCCTTTACATCTATACTTAACAGTAACAGTGAGAGATTGGGAGAAGTTTAGTCCGTCGCGTCTTTAAAACAAACTCCCTAATTCCGTTTGTCTCGCTAACCGAAGAAGTTAATGTTTTTAGCTTGCCACCCGACGCGTTCCTAGAGACAGACGACCACGTTTCCCGCCAAAATCGATGAGGAGGACAGAAAGGTGTACAATTACTGATCTCTGGTCAATACTTTGCTTTTCCCCTCTTCATTTTGAAGTTCAGCTTGGTTTGGATTGTCGCAATATCAAATGTACTTTAAGGACGGGACGTCATAGCTGTTTTGTGGTAAGGGGTTTCTTTCGTTGGAGTTTTAATAATTGTATGTGCATCTCGGAAGAGGCAATGTGTTACGTCATTGCTAACATTACCAGGGTGCAGATTTTGCTCAAAAACAGAGATGTAGTCCCTTTTTGAAAACACACGAAATCACACAAACGTTCGAATAATGGTTGTTGATTTTTTAACTGCTATTGATTTTGTTGTTGTTGTGTTGTGGTGCTGTTGTTGTCATTGTTGTTGTCGTTGTTGGTACATTTCTCCCCTTGACCTTCATTTTGTTCCAAAACTGAGTCAAATGGTGCGCTCTATAGAGAACCGGGTTTACGTCAGAGTGCAAAATCTATGATATTAATAGAAGTCTATGAGCTACATAATAAACACCTTGGAGCACGATCAGTGAAAGCAGTGTGGCGAGGAACATTCCCACATTATCATGGCAGCGAGAGACGGAAGGGCGTTAATGGGAAAACATGAGCTGTGAAAGTCAGCGCTTAGAAGTGCAGCAAATGTACGTGTACCCAATTAAATTCATTACCTGTGTTTAATTAGGCGTCCTGTGGTGCGTCATCTCCATAGATTTGTCTCATAATAGCCTAGACTTTGCACTCTGATGTAATTCCGGCTCACCAAAAGAAAGGCATAGTTCTCGACTAAAGCAAAACTGGGATTTTACTCGATGACCGCATCCAATTAGGCATTCTCTGGCGTATCACCGCTGTCTCCTCTCGAACATACCTTCTACCTTCTTCTCTCAAATTACAGTCAAGACCAGATTTGCCCCCTCCGAAACAAAGTTACTGCAGCCTGTCTGATGTCTGATAAAGTGTGAAGCCCAGACCACCCGAAATGGGAAACTTACTTCCCAAGTTACTTTCTTGTCTCAAAGAGATATTGTGTTATCGTATAAGTATTCACAACAAGACATTAAGTTCTAGTATCTCAAGTGGGGCCCCAAATTGTAAATTTTCTCATTGCTTGACGAATGGGTTGGACATAGAGATGGACAGAATAGGTCTTTTATCTTGTTCCATGTCAGAGCGGTTTGCACGATCCTACCAGACCAGCGTGTTGGACAGATTTCAGTTGGAAAATAGTTTTGGCAAATGCTAGTTACTGTGAGTATTTTATTGAATAAAATGGGCGTGGTTTTATCAGATTGAATACAAAGGGGAAAAAATATTCAAAATGACGGTGTCACAAACCATATTATTATTATTATCGACGATTGGCGCAGTAGGCGCGGTACCATTTATCAACAATAAAATAGTGAAAGTTCGAGGCAAGACTTAGAAGTGGGGGCGTAGGAAAGGCGAATAGTCACCGGGGAAGTTGCATCTCCCCATTAATGGAAGAGCTCTCTGTATTCTCTGTCTCGACGGGTATTCTGAGAGATTCCCAAAAATGTCTTAAGCGAAAGACACATCTATATGAATTTGAACAGAACTGGCGAGTTCTGAAGTGAAGTGGCTCACCAGTAGAGCTAACATCATGTCAACGGGCAGTGGTGAGAGAAGAACTTGTGTGTAGAACTTATACTTACAGTGTGTTCATACTGTGCCGGAACAACATAGGGGGAACTGCTGCTTTTTCTTTCCTCATCCTTATTATCGTCATTTTTCTTCAACTTTTTTTGTATGTTTATCTCTCTCTCTCTCTCTCTCTCTCTCTCTCTCTCTCTCTCTC